TTCATTTTGTGCTGTCTAAAAGCAGGTTACAAGTGACTAAAACCAGGATACAAACACAAGACTAACAGAAACCAGAGAGTGTGTGTCTGGTGTACATTTAGAAAAATAAAGCCATCATTTTCTCCTTGGATGACTGCTATTGTTCTGTGCCAAGTGAAAGAACATTCAATTAAGCTGTATCAGAGAAAAGGTCTTCACTTTAAACTGCACACTGCACCATAGCTGTGCAACCTGAAGTTACTGCACATGAGGGAAGTGACTTGTGAACCACCAGATCAAATTGATTGCCTGTCAAATATTGCACAACCTTATCTTTTAGTGTTAAAATGTGTGTGAAAAATATGTGAACTCCTTTTATTTGTCAGAAGAAAAATCACATTTTACATATGTCCGAGAAGAGTCTTTTGCTTTTATGAGGTATTTTTCATGTACTTTCTTTGATCTTATGCATTTGACCTGACTTCTAGAAATCACTGTCAAGTAACTGTCTCTGTACTTTCATAAAGTTACATGTATGCTCCTGTCACTGAAATTTAACCCAGCCTAATCTCCACCCCTGCCTAATTGTGCTGAGAGTTTCCATGGCACAAGGCTCAACCAGTGCAACATCTGCATATAAGGAGAAATCACCTTGAGGCTCATGTGTCCTCTTTTGTCCTCCAGTCCCCCTCAGGCGTAGTAGCTAGACCTCAAATACAGGGTCTACAAAATGGTTTTGAATCAAGTGAGAGAGAAGAGGAAATGCCAAAGAAGGGCCTTTTGTCTGGCTTCATCACCTCAAATCTCTTCCACCATCCTGTCTATACAAGAATCAGGTGGACTGTGCAGCTTCTTTCAGAGTCTGATTCACCAATATGTTATTGGTCAAATTAATATTTTAATACACTGGCTTGGTTAATGTGCCGCGTATAATGTACATAATGCATGTTAAAACCTAGTGAAATACACCAGTATATTCAGAAAGTCACGTATGTTATACAGCAACAGACCATGTACCATTTTGATTGGGTTTTGTAAATTAAGCTCTCATTGTTAGAAATGGGAGTGTTTTCATGAAAAAAGACTACATGTGCAGTAGTTTGTAATAGAGCCCGAGCAACATTAATTTCATAGGCTCATTTCAAATTAGCTCTGACAATCAGGGCACAAGGGACATTACGGCAATACAGAAGATGGGATCAGCAAGTCCCATCAATCACTCCCGACAGTAGGCAGGACTCTGGCAGCGTGATGGATGACAGCGGTGAAATGAGACAGAGAGGAATGCACCATACGTCCAACTTGCCACATTAAGTTTATACTGCCACACATCAGTGCTTCACCACTTCATGATCAGTGCTAGCAAGGCCCGCTCTAAACAGTGCAGCCTGTGCATGAAGATGGTGCAATCCGATACCGGTGGATAAAATTAACCCACATCACATCATACACACTCAATAATAGCATGATTTCATGAATCATCCATCACCTGTTTGGAGTGAATTTTAAAAAGATCACCAGTAAAACAAGCACAATTAACCCTAAAACAGCAAATCCCATTGCTCTTGACTTTGTCTCGGTTTGAACATAACTGCCCCACTGCACAAACTTAAGAGTTAAACATGCACACACACCAACACGACGTACTTGTCAGTAAAGTTTGGTAATAAGCCGGCGGTAATGACAGGGCATGGACCCTTGCTGTTAAAATAAAACCAATTAAACATAGTCTGAAATGAATGGAAAACAAAGGTTATCCTTAAGATAATCTCCACTGAAGATGTGAGTGCCAACCTGAGGAGCTGCTGAGCTATAGAGCAGCAGAAGTCACACAAGGACAGCATGAACATTTAGAGGCTTTGTAAAGCAGCAACAGTCAACCTTGTCAAGATTACCAGGTGATAATTTTTCTGGGTGACAAAAATAGTCTGCACTAAGCAGGATGTTGTCAGTGGACACAGATGAGGGGAAAACAAGTCAGACATTCTAGACTGTCCCGTGTCACCACCAGCCCAGTAAACTGACCACAGTGTTCAACATGCTGTTAAACTTGTCACGCTACAGCATGCAAGTGGCGTGAAGAGGTCATGACTGCTACATGCTGTTAAACTTGTTGCAAGTGGCGTGAAGAGGTCATGACTGTTTAGCCACTTATCTTCACAGTCTGTATTGGTAACCCCCCCTCCCAAAAACCCACACAATTTTAATTTTAAACATGGGACAATAGAGTTTCTTGTAGAACAGACTACAAGGAAGTCAGGATTTGATACAGTACATACACACAGAAATACATGCTTGGTACAGTTCTGCTCACAATCCTCAATCAGACTGAGTCAAATCAAACCAAATGCTATAAAAACCTAATGCAGTCAGGAAAGGAGTACACTATGTATCTTCTAATTCCTGTGTAGCTGTTGAACAAGACTTGGATTAGTTTCAGCTTTTGCTAAAGTGTAATTTTTCATAAAAGTATTTGTATCATTTGAATAATCCTACTCTTCAAATGTTCAAAGTCATGTTGAAGTGTTTAACTGTAAGGGTAGCACTGAATTATTGGACCAGACTGAAATATCACAACAACCATTGAATGCCACGAAGTATCGTACAAACATTAATGGTTCCCAGAGGATGAATCCTAATGACTTTGGTGATCCCTTAACTTTTTTTTTAATCTAGCACCACCATCAGGTCAGAATTTGAATTTGTCCCATGCTTTGCTTTGTGGCCAAATACCTGCACAAATGATGATATTCCAATCAGTTTCAGCTGCACTTTGTATTTTGTACTAGCAAATGCAATGCAGATTAAGAAGCAAAACTAATATAGCAAACATCATGGTAAACATTGCTAAACACTAGCATGTTGGCATTAGCATGGTGAGCATATTAGCTTGCAGATATTAGCATTAAGCTTTGAATGAGAAAAATGACAAAAATATTTAAGCTCTACTTTGACCAGTTAAAGTATATTTTTATTTCAACATCCATCATGGAATTATGCAGAGACCTGTAGCAGACCTGAACACATTTATAGCATCTAATTAAATTCAAAGACCTTCTGCTGTTTTCTTGTGCCTTTGACTGACTGATTTCTTTGCTCCACTTTTGCTTCCTGTGTTGCATTTGGAGCAACTTAAAACTTATTGTATACACACAGCAACTGCTCTTGAGTTGTTTCTCATCTTGTCTTATCTTTACCTGTTTTATTTTCATTTCATGCATTTTATTTTAAGCTTTATCTTTTTTGTCAAAAATTATTTTATTCCTGTTTTTAATGTTTATCTTTTTTAACGTTGTTAATGTTTTTCTTTGCCTGTGTAAAGCAGCTTTAGTTGTCATTGTGTATGAAATGTGCTATATAAATAAAGCTGTCATGCCTTGCCTTATTCTTCACCCAAATATACCGCTGGCTGGACTGCTGCTGCAGTAGTTTGATGGCTCATTGCATTGAAACAGCAATTATGTTCTTAAAATACTGTATCCATCTTTGAGCGAGAAACCCAGCCCTGTCTACATCCTACAGCTCACTTCCACCACTATGATCACATTTTAGAAGTTTTAATCCAAATGCAATATGCAAATTGATAGTTATCATCTTGCTAACCATGGACTTACATTTTCAGCTCCCTTTTAATATAGCAGTCAGTTTTAAAATGTTTAATTTCTTTTATTTTTTCAGAGTAAAAATCTCATTTTTAATTAACCATTTGTTAATGCTCTCTGTGACGCTTATTGTAAAGTGGGAACCATATATGCATGAACTAACACTTCATAAATGTATCACAGTGGTGAATAACCATTACTTAACCTTTATTGCCACATTTGTCCTGTTATATTGAAATAAATGTAGCTGTGGGCAATCACAGATTCCCCTTGCACACTTGATGCAGTTGCTTACATGTGGTCATGACCTAGCTATGGTAAAGAAAGCACATGCAAATTCAGCTGCATACAGTAGGCAGTAGGGTGCCTTCATCTATTTAAGGTTTCAGTGTCTGGGGACAAGCTCAGTTTTTGGCAGAGATGACTCGTCATTTAGCCTTTTTAACTGCCAGACAAATCAACAAATCAACCCACCAAAAGTGCAAGAAAAACATTGTGTGTGTGTGTGTGTGTTTAATTGTAGAACAAAAAAATATCTTTCAATTACTATTAAGAAGATTCCATTTTAAACTTTAACCTAAGTAGTAAACTTTAACCTAATACAATAAAACAGTATTGTCACTAGAAACACACTGAGATGGTACGACTATATTGCATGGTTGTTACACAAAATTATGTGTGTTGGACACAATACACAACAGCTACAAAATGTGTGTTGGACACAATACACAACAGCTAAGCAGAATTTTACCTGGAATCTGTTTCAGTGTTTTATACGTCTATAGTTTTAGCCTTGCTTTCCAATATTACTTTAGTGTAGTCTGCCACCTGCTGGCTTTTTTTCTAGTATGCTTTAATGGAGTTATTTAACCACAGATGTGAACTGTGATCAAAATGAATGTTTTATGGCTTACTGACTCTACACTAAAAAAACAAGTACAAGCTGCCAAATGGTGTACTAGTAACTGAAGAGACTCTTGTCAGCAGAACATGAAGTGCAACCAGACTGAATAGAAATTAAATTAATTTAAAGTACAATGGCTGTACATTTCACTGGATACATATCAACTGTGTTAAAAGACATGTAAGCCTGTCTGTCTCTCTATACGTCTCTCTTCCAGTTGGGCAGGAAGATGAAGAGAAGGCACTTTGCTCTGTTGTCTTTAATAAGGTTGTATATAAAATGTATTTTTACTGAATACAAACTTTAATAATAATAATAGTTTACACTTTTTTGGGTATATGACTTTAAGTTGAATTGACTATTTTATCAACGACTTTTCAATAGAGTTAAATGACTTATTCTACTCTTTCTTGTAATGGAATCATAAATTGATCTATGGTTAAAGCTAAAGCCGTTTCTTAAATTGATTGCTTGGCGCATGCGCAGTGTAATGGAACATTCTGGTTCTCGTGCGGAAGTCTCGCGCATATTGGCAGCCACAGTGGGGTACAACCAAAGCAGACAGCGAGTGGAGCGACAAGAAGGGAGTCAGCGGCCCTGTGGCTGAGCTTATCTGAGTTTCGAGCGACAGACGCGTCGATTCTTAAAATGACCAGTGGGTATCGACATTTTTTACTGTAAGGCATTTATGTACTTTATTCGATTGCATGTCGCCTGTGCTTGCTGTTTTTAAACCGCTCGTTAGCCTTGGCCACTGCCGATTTCGGTTCCGTCTATTTGCTGAAATAAACTTGAAGTTATTTCTCGGGTTTCATGGCACCATTATCGTCTTGGTTAATAAATCACGCACACTCCTGGTTGTGTTTAGTAGGTTTAAGTGGAACAGACGGGCTTTGTTGTACGGTATGTCACATAGCTGTGTGTCATATTATGTGATATACGATGGTGTAAATAGCTATATTTGTCAACATTGATGGGTCAGTGGGTTGTCCAGCTATTAGTCACAGCCTCGGCCTATGAGTAATGTAACGTTAAAGCCAAAGACACAACATGGTTATTTGAATGTCAGCGCTGCTTGTAGCAGCCACAACGCCACACTGTTTAGCTACCAGAAAGTACTTGTGTTTCTTCAAACCTTCGCCGCCTGGTGCGACAGGCCGTGCTGGAAAACGCTCTGCAGCTCCCTGTGCTGTTGTTCTGGACACGAAGCTGCTCCAGAGCGCCTCTCTGCCACGTCGGCTGCTCTCCTGCTTGGCACCGTTATTTATGCCATTAACTGTTACATTTTACCCACAGTTGTCGTTGTTACTTACATTATGGTTTACATACAATTATTGTCTCTGCGCTTTCGTAGCATTTAATAACTAATATGTTTGTAAGGGTGTAGCTCTCGCACCTCCTGTGTTGTGTGCAGCTATATTATAGTTGGTGTTTTTTTTTCTTTTGTCTGACATACAGGAGGAAACCAACGTGAGCTTGCACGCCAGAAGCATGCCAAAAAGCAGACTGAAAGCAGTAAAGGGAAGAGGGGCGATGATGGACTGTCTGCTGCTGCACGGAAGCAGAGGTAGGCGGCAGTCCGCATCAGATTGAAGAAATGGGATGAATAGTTGAGCATTGAATTTTTGCAGCTCTCTAACTTGGTGTTCTGTAATGACTTGTGACTCTGTATACCATTTCACTCCTTGCTGATCATGCCCTTATATACTTTTAAATATTGACATGAAAAAAAAAACTGTTCTCTTTACCTCCTTGTCATGCACTTATACAATACATACAGTAGCTCCTTATGTTACCAGTGCTGCAAAAATCCCCCTCATATTACCTTTTGGTTAAAAAAAAAAAGAAGTTATTTTTGATTCAGAATGTATTCCAGTTTTACCTGTGACATCAGAAACTGTTTTACACAGGTGTATTTTACAGTAGAACGTGTCCTAACAAAGCATATTCTCTCTTTAAATCTCTCTCTCCCCAAGGGATGCAGAGATAATGCAACAGAAGCAGAAAAAGGCAGATGAAGCAGGGAAAGGAAGCACAAAGGCCAAGTAAAGAATGACATCAGAGATTGAGTCAACTCAGTGTTTCAAGAACATCCCATTTTCAGCATTCTTCCTGATATTTAAGACAATGGATCTGTCATTTTTGTCTAGACTCAAGAATCTAGGATCCTACATTTTTTCCTATGGCAAATGACATTGCTTGTTGGATTCATTATTTTAACTTGGAGAAATCATGTCTGAGCAAGTTAGTGGTTGTCCCATGTTGGTGCTGCATGCAGTGAAGAATCAGTGGTGTAGAGAGCAGGAGAAAGATGAACAATTCTTGGCACAAAGCATCTATGTAACAGTTGTGTATTTTTGTACAATAGTGTCCCCTGCTGGCTTCAAATAAAGTGTATCTTTTTAGTTCATGCTTGTTCAACTTGTTTTGAATTTTAGTTAATAATTTTATTGTATTTTATTTAAAGGCAAATGTGAACTTTTTGTTAGTCACACTTTAGGTGCATTTTTTTTAAATGGCATCGCTCCCAGGTGCAATTTTGCTATGACAGAGGGAGTGAGGAATCAGTAAATTGACTATTACTAGTAGTTTTCTTAATTTACTCTGTTATTTGGATAGTTGGTCTTCATGCTTTGATTAAGTGTATGAAGATAGGATTTCTGTTAAGCCCTAATAGAAATTACTGCTAAAAATACTTGTAACTCTTTCTAGAAGCAAAAGGTGAATAGTTGCAGTGGTGGAAGATAAAATTCACAGTGACTTTAAAGTATTCAGAACCCTTTTGGCACATTTTGTGTTGTACAGATTCTTCTTGCATACTGTGGGAGTTTATCATCAATGTGTACATTTTACTGTGCTTATAATAGCCTCCTGTATTTCCCCCAGACACACACATTGCACAACCACTATTTACAAGAGACCAGCATACTGCTTCCTGTAAAGTCATCATGTTGACAGACCTCAAGGAAGCAGTACACGGACACTTTCCATCCAGTCTGACCAGCTTGAGAGCAATGAAAGTATAAAACGCTGAATTAAGGGTCTGAACAGTTTTGTAAATGACGATTTCAGTTTTTGATACATAATAAATTTTCAACAAGTTCTAAAAATATCTTTTCACTGAGTCATGGGTTATTCTGTAGATTAATGAACAAAAATGGCAACTTTATCCATTTACAATTAAATCGAGAAAATAAAGGGATAAGAATACTTTCTCAAGCTACTGTAATTCCACCCAGGCCAATGAAACCTGTTTAACCTTTCTGGCACTTCACAAAACAATTCAACCTACAGCATCTGCTGGTCAGAGAACTCGGCACATGAGCAGTCTTTAGTCATATTAACACAAAAACTATTCCACTAAAACCGTCAACTTCAGAATTAGTGAATGGTCTAATTTTAATCAATTTTGATCAAATTCTCGCATTGTTATCGGCTTTGTTCACATGGTTGATGGAGATGCATTCAACAATCTGACAAAGAGGCACTTAACTGAGAGAAGCCAAGGACTGGCCTGATTTGTTCTACTTCTAAAAATCTAGATGTTGGCAGACAGTCAAATTAGGCAAATGAAGAAAGCAGGGACTGTCACTGCATGTTCTCTCAGCCTCTCTGTGACAAGGTGCTATCAACGTAGTGACTTTAGAGGATAAACAGTGGTCGTATTTGTGAAGCAGGTACAGCACAGTTTGCTCAGGGCTTATGGCTGCCTCCTTTAAATAGTGACTGTGTAATGTGTTCATCCCAGTACAATGCAGGGGGCTGTTATGTAAAGCAAAATTTAAACAACTGGAAGACAAACACCCACAGTACGCAAGAAGAAGATCCAGTAGTAGAGTTAGGATGGCAGTGAGATTCCCTTCAAGGTTGACCAGCCTATTAAAGATGAGATTACAACAGTGACTTTTGGGACCTCTCCACATACAAAGAACAAATCAGAGTCATATTTATTATTTATTTATAGTCACATTCAACAGTACTATCTGAATAGCTATAACTCGAATGATAGCATACAGTTTTTATACAAGTCCTAATTTCCATTAACAGCATAATAATATAATCATGCCTACATGACATGTGGTTAAGGAGAGGATACATCTGCATTCTGTCTCCATTCTCTCTGTATTGTGTAACAATGGAGTTTGCCATATTCACTGTAATTAAGCTAAGCATGCCAGCAGACAGATTAATTCCATTGTAGGTTAATGCCATTGCTTCCACTAGGTGGAAGTATACACCATGGTGTTCTCAAAACTGTATTGTACTTGGTGAATTATCCTCAGCTGATCTGGCTATGTTGTATTACGTGCTTCCTTCACTTGAACCACTTATAAAAACATACAGTATACATGTTTCAAAATTTTAAGTCCTGCTCAAGCACTTTGGAAGCTTTAAATATTGATTTTTGTCCACCAACATAAACACAAAGTGCTTATTGCTGGTATTTTATGGTGTTCACTGAGCCAGTTCAGCCCATTCATAGTCAGTAAGATGTGTATCTGCTTACTGAAATCCAGTAAGTTTATGTCCTCAGTTCTCAGAGCATATAATTAAGTTGCCAGTTTTTCCCCCCTATCTCACTAAGCAAAAATGTGGATAAATAATGATGAGGAACAAATACAGAATCAGCAGGTTGGTTAAATTCCTTATCCACCATTACCCATGATACTCTGATTACAGCTTTTGGTAGATCTCACTTAAACTCAAGCATAAGGCCTAACCAACCAACTTCTGGTAGGTAGGTTTTCTTACAACAGACCAGGAGATGGTGATGAGAGAGATAGAATGCGAAGAAAAGAGAGCTTATTTAATTAAATTCATACAAGAAGCCTCATCTCTTTATGCTCCCTCTGCTGAATTTGTGGCGGTATGGGAGTAAAAATGCAGAGTGGCAGAAAGGAGGGTGCTTCATTCAAGCTCTTTAAAACATTGAATAGCCCAGTGTTGTAGGTCAAATTGTGGAGTAGATGGACAGTCATGCTCTGTATTTGCTTGGTTTTACATAATAGTATTTTTAAATATAGTCTACAATTACCTTCTGGGTGCAGTCAAGCAAAGTCAAGCTTTTTTTATATACTTGCACTTCAGAAATCCAGCCAGCTTCAACTACTGTATATGTGTAGGTAAGATATACAGTTTATGTATATGTAAACTGAGAAACTGTCAAGGTCTACCCAAAATGACCATCAAGTAAAATTAAGAAGTAAAAAGCATAAAACTGTGAAAACATTAGGTCAAAGAAGTGCTAAAAAAAGATCTGGGACTGATGGGACATACAGAATGCTTATGGTAACTGATTTAGTCTTGGCCTGTTAAATCTGCATGAGGGTTCACTGGCTTTGTATGTACATCCTCAGCTGAGATGTCCCACAGGCTTATAGCACCACTGCTTGGTCTTCTCCTCACCTACTTGTGAGTGAAACACACAGAGTGCTCAGTGAGTCAGGAAAACTGACTTGAGTTTAAACTTGGGGCTTTATGATGTCAATGGACTCTCAATGTCCAACCACTTTACAGTGCATAACTTGTAGTTCAGACCCACTACCCCCTAATTACAAGGTCAGGAGCCACCTGTACCCCAGAGCTCAGGTGCAGGTGCATGGATGTCATCAGAAAACAAGGATGAAAGTCGCACCTTCACCTCTGAGTACGTTTTTGAACACTACCAAACGTAAACACACACAAAACTGCTGCTACATAACTGTAACTTGCAACTCATCAGCAGCTAGAAAATAATGACTGTAACGTTACTCACCCAGTTTGAACGACATTCTGCTGGCTTTGCGCTTGTCTTGGTCAAATTTCTTGGCTTTATAATGTTCAAACGTAGAAGAGTCCAGTCTACGGCTCCGTGATAATGAATGAGGGCCCGCTGTGCTAATAGCCAGGGCGCTCTCTGTCTTTAGCTAAGTAAAAGTTAGCTCATCTTTGTTACTGACAAGAACATAAACCAGAAAATAATCCAGTTTCTTCAGTTTTGAAACTTCGTATTCCGAACCTCGCTTCTCCTTTGACAGCCATTATTCCCATTGTATGTCTGTGGCATTTTGAATAAATGCACTAAGTTTGCTTGCTTTCTTCTTCTTATTATTATTCTTTCTTCTTCGTCGTCGTCTTCTTCTTCTTCTAATTTTGGCGGTTGGCAAATTAGTGAATGCTTGGAGGGTGTGTTTGTTTTAGTTAACCGTGCATGCTCCGTGGGTGGTGCAAGTGCAGCAATAACCTATGAGAAGATAAAATAACGTTAACCTTAATGGCAGCACGTAATTAGTCCCCCAGTTGACTTAGCATTGCTGTACATTGTTGATTTGCATTGTTTTAACCTTCACATTGTCCTGAGAGCCCGCCCGGGCCCCCAGATGACATGGACACAGGTGCAGCCGAAACGCTTGCACCACCTGACGCTCTGCCTGTGACACTAAGGACCTACCCTGTGATACTGCACTATACACAAACACATATTCCTCTTTATTTTTATTGTGTCCACAAAATCAGCATCCTATTCTCTAAAACCAAGAACGAACCAAGCTGAATAGGACAAACAAAAAAACTTGTCAATTTTATTTCCGGATCAAGTTTTTCCTTAAAGTGGAGATATTTGGGGTTGTTATCAGATGCATTAAAATCACCAACAGTATTACTAATGTGTAAACACCCAATTTTGAAGAGAGATGAGAATCTGGGTTTGCACTGATTTGAAAGATCTTCCTATTCCTTTTATTGACTGTGAAAAGTAAATTTGCTTTTCAATTTTACCATCAACAAAGCATTGGCAAGAAATATGCAAAGCAATCACAGCTGAAAATGCAAACTGACTGTAATTGTTTTCTAGGCTGCTGCAAACAAAAGTCACCTTTCAGGGTGCAGCAGTTTGTTAATAATGAATAGCAAATTACCATCTTTACACTCTTCACCAAATGGTTGGTGACAATAGATGAGCGGCTGGTACTGAAAGTAAATGGAATGTGTCACAGAACATCAAAACAGAGAGAATACAAAGAAAAGGAAAGAATGACAGACATAGGCAGAACTTATAAGAAAAAAAGAGAATGGACAGACTTGATTTTGTTTGTATTAACCCTGAGTCTGCACAGTCATGCTTAACCCTCAGAGCTTTGACACACATGGGCACTCTGCGAGTGAAGAGGCCTGTTATTCCTGCTACTAGCTGATCTCTGTGGCAGCAGGGGTGCTAGGGCACCAGCAAGGTGAGATGTATTCACAGTGCGTTGTCCAGTGCAAGCAGAGGTTCCTGCAGAATGGTCTGTACATGTACTGGGTTTGGGTCTGAGGTTCTTGAATGTCATGAAAATGCAATTTCTCATTAGTGCATTAAGTGTATTTAAGCCTAGTTAAATATCCAGATGCAAGAACAAAAACAGATTCTTTTTTTGTTGCATGCTACAGCCT